ACCCACACCTCAGAGGCTGCAGAAGGTGGGAAACCCCCACCTGCACCCTTAGAAGTAGAGGTAGTGCTCCCAAAAGATGCTCCTGAGCTTCCTAGGGAACCAGAAGAAATAAAGGAGTCTCTGGCCATACTCTCTGGCTCCGCAGTACTTCCTGCAGGAACCTCCTCATCCCCAGAGGCCCCTGAGAAGTTCCACTTTGAACAGGGCAAGTTTCACTGCAACTCATGCGTGTTCCTTTGTTCTCGGCTCTCCTCCATTACCTCCCACGTGGCTGACGGCTGCCGGGGGGTACGAAGCGGAGCAGGAAAGCGAGGGGCCTCCCAGACGCAGCCTATTGTGTCCCCACTGAGCATTGGGGACTCTATTCCCCTAAACAGTGGGAGTACTAAGTGTAGCCCTGGTGATGGGGACCCAGCTCTGGTTCCAAAGCAGAAGGGGGCTCGCTTTTCCTGCCCCACATGTCCCTTTAGCTGCCAGCAGGAGCGGGCTCTGAGGACTCACCAGACCAGGGGCTGCCCCCTCGAGCAATCTGGAGAGTTGCACTGTGGCCTCTGTTCCTTCACCACTCCTGTTGCCGCTGCCCTGAAGCTCCACCAAAAGCGGAGGCACCCCACTGTGGCCCCAGCCCGTGGCCCCCGCCCCCCTCTTCAGTGTGGCGACTGTGGCTTTGTCTGTAAACAGAACAGGTGCTTGCAGCAGCACCAGCGGCTCAAGCACGAAGGAGTGAAGCCACATCAGTGCCCTTTCTGTGACTTTTCCACCACTAGACGGTACCGATTGGAGGCTCACCAGTCCCGACACACAGGTGTTGGCCGCATCCCCTGCAGTTCCTGTCCTCAGACATTTGGTACTAACTCAAAACTGCGCTTGCACCGGCTGAGGGTACACGACAAAACACCCACTCACTTCTGCCAATTCTGTGACTATAGTGGCTACCTTCGCCACGACATCGCTCGCCATGTGAACAGCTGCCACCAGGGCACCCTAGCCTTTGCCTGTCCCCAGTGTGAGGCTCAGTTCAGCTCTGAGACAGCACTCAAGCAGCATGCTCTGCGCCGGCATCCCGAGCCTACCCCCCCAGCCCTGGGCTCCCCTGTGGAGGCCACTGAGGGCCCTCTGCATTGCTCCCGCTGTGGGTTCCTATCCTCCAGTCCTGCCAGACTGCAAGGGCACACCTGTAAACAGCACCCGCGGCTTGAGTGTGGGGCCTGCCAGCAGGCCTTTCCTAGCCGGCCAGCACTGGATGAGCACCGGAGGCAGCAGCATTTCAGCCACCGCTGCCAGCTCTGTGACTTCGCTGCCCGGGAGCGGGTGGGCCTGGTGAAGCACTACTTGGAACAGCATGAGGAGACTTCAGCAGCAGCCTCAGATGGGGATGCTGGCCAGCCCCCTCTGCGCTGCCCCTTTTGTGACTTCACGTGCCGCCATCAGCTGGTGTTAGATCACCATGTGAAAGGGCATGGGGGCACCCGGCTCTACAAGTGTACTGACTGTACTTACAGCACCAAGAACCGGCAGAAGATCACCTGGCACAGCCGCATTCATACTGGGGAAAAGCCCTACCACTGTCATCTCTGTCCCTATGCCTGTGCTGACCCCTCTCGCCTCAAGGTAAGGTCTAGGACGAAGTGGGCTAGGAGTACAGTCTGTGGAGTTAAATTGCCTGGGTTCTCTAAATCTGACTCTACCAAATATTACTTTTGTGACCTTTGTCAATTCCCTTAATTTCTCCAAGCCTTAGATTCCTCATCTGTAAAAATGGGATAATACTTCAGAGTTGTTATAAAATTCTATAATACATGCTAGTCATGTGATAAAGGCATGTAATAGGTTGGGGATAACCTAGATAATAACAGCTAACATTTATTGAGCACTTACTGTATGCTGGTCAATGTAATTTTAATCCTTGAAAAATATGAGATAATAGTTCCTTTTCCTATTTCTTATTTTACAGATTATTAAGCTGACAATTAGGTATTAGGTCACCCAAAGATGCAGGAAATAAAGTGGCAGAGCTGAGAGTCTGGGCAGATCTAGGAGTAGGCCCAGTGGGTGAGGTTGGTGTCAAAGTGGCCAGACTGGGGAACCTGGTTGCTAACAGGAGTATAGATAGGATGGGAGCAGGGAACAGGGTTGTCTGCCAACAGTCTTTCTGCCTCCTTCCCCTATTTCCTTATCCTTGAGTACCCACATTTCCTGGGCATATTCTTTGCTCTTTCCTCCTTCAGTACCATATGCGGATCCATAAGGAGGAACGGAAGTATCTGTGCCCTGACTGTGGCTACAAGTGCAAGTGGGTCAACCAGCTCAAGTACCACATGACCAAGCACACAGGTGAGTCTGCATGGTTTTGATAAGCCCAATGGGTTCCCCCATTCCCTGGCACACCCAGCCTCCCTGATTGGGTTCTTACTGATTCAGGCTGCACATTAGTTTTCACCTTGGGAGTGGTGGGTGGGTCAGATGGCTAGAATAGCTTCCCAATCCACTGAAGACTTACCAGAATCAGAAGAGAGGTGAGCCTGAGAGCCTGGGTATGTATACTTTTCAAAGGCTCCATGGGTGATTGTGGTACCAGGTCACACATCTCCTGTTGAGAACCCCCCAACTCAAACATGAGTGACTAAGGGAGGTCTACCTGGTTCCTATAGACCTGATGGAACTATCATGAGTAAAGAGGAGAAAGTGGGAAGGTTTTAACTTATCCTTTTTTCTCTTGGTTATGGAGTCCACAAACTACAGGTTCTCTGAAAAGGGTTAATGGTGACATGCCTGTGATTATTGGGTATGATCTCCCCATGTAAAGGAATTGAGCAGATGCATTTCAAGGCCCTCTGCGTCTATGAATGCTGCTTTCTTCACTTCTATCCCCTTCCCTCTTAACCATTTTTTTCGACTTCTTGTATTGAACAAGGAGTTGTATTTAAATGCATCCCCAACTTCCATGAGTACCTACTCTATGACCAAAAGGTTAGAATTTCCTATTTGGAAACCCTATCATATCTGAGTATCCATTGCTATCAGGTGGCTATTTAGAGGTCCAGTTAATTATCAGCACTTATTGAGCATCCATTGTGTACAAGGGGCTGTGTTGGGAGAAGGGCACAGAAATGTCAGACAAGACTGGAATATTCCAGTGATATGGTATTAGCTTGCTGCTTGAGTTTTTTATGTCCCAGGATCACAGTGACTCTTACGGTTCACTGAACCCTGTTTCATCCCCTTCAATGGTGATTTGTTATCTATCTTTGCCATGTCCTATAGGACTGAAGCCATATCAGTGTCCCGAATGTGAGTACTGCACCAACCGAGCTGATGCCCTGCGGGTGCACCAGGAGACCAGGCACCGGGAAGCTCGGGCCTTCATGTGTGAGCAGTGTGGCAAGGCCTTCAAGACACGCTTCCTGCTGCGCACCCACCTCCGCAAGCACAGCGAGGCCAAACCCTATGTGTGTAACGTGTGCCATCGTGCTTTCCGCTGGGCTGCTGGCCTGCGCCATCATGCCCTCACCCACACCGACCGCCACCCCTTCTTCTGCCGTCTCTGCAGCTACAAAGCCAAACAGAAGTTCCAGGTTGTCAAGCATGTGCGCAGACACCACCCTGACCAGGCTGACCCAAACCAAGGTGTGGGCAAAGACCCCACCACCCCCACGGTGCACCTGCATGATGTGCAGTTGGAGGATCCCAGTCCTCCTGCTCTTTCTGCTCCCCCAACTGGACCTGAGGGCTGAGAGCCCATTCCACCTCCCAGACAAGAAGAAAATGTGGTCCAAGATGTGCAGACTGGAACCAGAGCTAGCCTGAGAAGCTCAGAGAGTAAGGAAGGACTGGCTTCGGGACGTCAGGTTGGCTGGAACCCTCCTGGGACTCCGGCTATAGTACTTCAATGTTGATGGCTACATAAAAGAGAGAGATGAACTATAGATTGATTTTTGTGTTGAGAACCACTGTGTTTTTAACCTGTGAGGTCTTAGTTTCTTCACCATTACTCTACCAAAGTCCCTGACTATAAGATGCTGGTTTCACCCATTCCATCTTCTCTTTGCTTCTTTTAAAACAATTGTACTGAACTGCATGTGTTGTTGTGCCTAACGCTCTATAAAGCATGTTAAATAGAATGCTTACTAGCTTATAGACTCATCCATGTCCCTGTTTTAACATTTTCAGTCTGTCATCTCGATCTACCCCAACTCCTCTTAGACCTCTGCCTCCTTTTCTCCTTCCATCTTCTCTGAGTGATTGATTCTCAAACAGGCCCAAGTCTGCCTTCTCTCTGTTCTTGAGTCTGTCTTGGCCCTTGCTCTTCTCCCTATTTCTGAACAACTTTGACTACCTGTAGAGCAAGGGTGGGGAACCTTTTTTCTGCCAAGGGCAATTTGGATTATTTATAACAGTCACAGGCCATACAAAATTATCAACTTAAAACTAGCCTGCTATATTTGGTCAAACATTTAATTACCTGACCCCTAATGCCTTGGCAGAGCCAGACCAAATGATTTTGTGAGCCTTATACTGACCATGGGCCAGACGTTCCCCACCCTTGCTGTAGAGGGAGGACTGCCACTCACTAAGCTTCCTCATGGAAACAACATTCCTCAGACTACACTAGAATTCAAGCATAAAGATAGTATGAAAGGCAAATGATTGCAGGGTTGGAGGTAAATCTCTAATGCAGAATTCTATAAATGTCTTACAGTGACTAATCATCTAAACTAGGGCACACTAGGGAAATTAAAGAAGGTACTATTAATAATTGTGCTGTGACAGCAGTCATAAACCAGGACTGTTGCAGGCAAACTTTTCAGGAGGATTTGGATCACATAACCCTTTTTCTGCTCCTTTTGCCCTGACCCCTAGAAGCTGTACTTCTGTACCATTCTTATGTAGCACATGCAGAGGGACTCCTGGAAACTTTTGTTTTTCTGTTTACCCAAATGTCCCCCAACCCTCATTCTTCCCCTTATTGCCCAATAATAACAGATCATACTCAAGCCAAATTAGGGAGAGCAGCTCTATTAACACTGGTGGGACTAGGAAGGAGCAGACCAGTGTGGACTCAGAGCTGTGCAGTGTTTTCTTGAGAGTCACAGTACAGTCTTAGGGTCAGTTCTCTCCCCAGCCTTTGCTTGGGGAGGCTTGAGGCTTGGTTTTCCCTTTCCTTGGCTCTGGCCTTTGAGGAAGTTGTTGCGGAGGGGATAATGCCTCTGGGTTTCTTTGCCCCAAACCCCTCTGGATTTGTAGTTGCAATCTGCCTTGGAGCCAGAGTTGATAAGAGAGATTAGTCCTAGGTCTGGGTAGGGACTAAACCTACAGCAACGGAAGGAAGGAACTCCAGGATAGAGTACACAGAAGGGCAGGAAAGATACCAAAAGTTTGTGAAAATGAAGAAAGGGAAGAGAAAGCAGGTGAAAAATCAGGCCCTAGATTTGCTTGTTAGGAAGGGTGAGGTAACTTTATGCTTAGGAACGCACAACCATGCTTGGTTTTCACCACCTCTGCTTTCTGGAGCATCCTTCCAGGGTTATCGTACCATCTGAAGCAAGTACACCCACCCTTCCCATGAAGTGTCCACCTTAAGATTCAACCTCCCTCAGCCCTTCCAGCATGCAGATGTGCACGAAGAGGGATGCTGGGTGGAGGCTGGTGCCATCCTTGGAGAGGAGGTGTATATGGCGGTAACCTGGAAAGGCATAGGAGGACAGCATTAGGAAGGCAGCCAGAGTAAGGGGTTTGGCCAGGGGTGGAAGGACACGCTCACCTTGTTGCATGCAGGTCCAAGGCAAGGTGTACTGACCGATAAAGTCATTTCGGGATGTCCAGTTGTAATCCTTTACCAAAAAACGCAGCATGGCCAGCTCAGGTACCAGCAACTGGAAGCATAGTGTCTGCCCCCAGTACGGATTAAAACCTGGGTGGAAGAGGGGTGAATGTGGGAGGGAATGAAGGAACAGACATTGTTGACTTTTGGGGGGGACCTGCATTCTAGGTTACTTTCCCTGTGCGCTTTCACTTAATTTTCATAGCAATCAGGTGAGGAAATTGAGGCTCTGAGTGGGTAAGCAATTTGCTCTGGTTACTAGACCTTATAATTGAGAGGCCAGGATTCAGATTGAAGATGTCCAAGCCCTGATTCTTTGTCCTGTTCCACACTGTCTCCCATGGAGGTGGGAGCAGGATGGTGGTGACATGGACTATACTGAATGAAGGGCAGGAAGTTAGGACAGTAACAGTCAAGCTCCTCCCACCTCCCCCCAGCACTGCCCAGTCTCACCATTATTCTCCACATAGCTGGTCTCCTGCCGGGTTGTGTCTGGGCGAACACCAAAGATTTCCACTCTCACCAGTGGATCCACAATGGATCCCTCTTTGGTCTTGTCCACTTTGGGGAGTTGTTGACCACTGATCACCTGCAATAGTTTCTGCTCAGCCAGCCCCATTCCAGCTCTCACCCCAGGGGAAGGGGGAAAACTAAGGGAAGAAAGAAATGCAGGACTTTGTGCTCTAGCTTTGGGTTTGCAAAGCCAATCCTCCATGGGTAATAGATTTTCTTCTAGTAATCTATGTGCAATTTAAAATGCATCCAAGTAGAAGTTGAACAAGGTTTGAAAGGTATGTTAGTGACAGCAACCCCTTCTATAGCATTTACTGTGCACCAAGCATAGTTGTAAGCACTTCGTTTTAACTAATCACCACAACCCTGTGAGGTAGCTAGTAGTATTACCCCTATTTTGCAGGTGAGGAAACTAAGGTTAAGAAACTTGCCCAAGCCCTGACCAGTTTGGCTCAGTGGCTAGAGCATCAGCCTGTGGACTGAAGGGTCCCAGCTTCGATTCCAGTCAAGGGCATATGCCCGGGTTGCAGGCTTGAAAAATATATTTTTTTAAAAAAGAAAGAAAGAAACTTGCCCAACAGTTTCACAGCTAGTAGGGTTTGAACTAGGCAATTGGCTCCAAAGTCCATGCTGTTAACAATCAGGCTAGCCTGCATCTCACAAGGAACTTTCCAACCAGTACACTCCTGTCAGGCCTAGCCACCTTTCCCCCTGCTTCTATCCCAGCTATCCCAAATTTCTTCCCAGCATTTTTACTTCCCATTATACCTGGATTTGGAGTGTCTGGGCTTTGAAAGGGCTGATGGGCCTCTCTGGGTGGAAGGAGCTCTGGGTATCACGAAGGAAGTCTGGCTTCAGCACGTAGCCACAGCCACCATTCTGGCGGAAAAGGCCATCATAGATGTCCATCTCAAGCCCCGCAGTCTGCACATTCATAGCCACTGAGGCCCCCAGAAGAAAAGAAGGGAAGAATTCACCTTGGAGGCCATCTAGCCTCTCAGGGAGTTATAAAAGATATATTCAGTATAAAAGAGCCTGCTGGGAATACCTCCATAGATATCTTTCTCAGCCTAGCACTCTTGGAACATTCCCTGGCCCTACAGCCACCCAGGATCTTGTTGCCAACTTGTTGCTCTCCCATTCCCCCTTCACTGGGTCTACTGCCCCCTCACCCATCTGGCAGCCTGCATTCCAGAATTCCTGGGGGTTGTAGTTAGATGAATCTGTCCTCAGACCACTAGGATACACACGGCTCAACTGCCAGGCGTTATGCTGCACAAACTGATTGCCTGTAAAAAGGGTGTAGGTAGAGAGTTGGAAGTGGAATGGATGCTCCCCCTCCCCTGGTCCCACCAACTTCAGTCTTCTCCCCAGCTTCTCCCTAGAGCTTTGAGTCCACTATAAATCCTGTGCCCATGCCTACTCTGAGAAGTTTCTTAGCTCCCTGATCCCTCCTCAGCTCCCTTGTCTTCTTGGAACTCATCTGCTTGCCCATCAGGCCTGACCTTACTCATCCCATTTCTTCCCTGTCCCTCCCTTTTGGTCCTGACCAGTCTCCTTGATGAGGTTCTTGGCCTTTGTTTCAGAGAAAGATGATAACTCATAGAAGCGGTAGTGCTCCTTCGAATGAGTGAAGTTATAGAATGAAACAGTCTTTGTGTAGATAACCAGGGCAGAGAGGGATGGACACAAGATGGCCTTGGATTTCTGGAAAAGGAGAAAGAAAGGATGATGGAATCAAACCATTAGCAATCTGAGAGGGAAGAAGCCAATAACCAAGATCTGAACTTCCCCACCCAACCTAAGCCTCTGCCCACTACCTCCCTACTGCATTATCCCTCCTGCCTCACCTGGTTGAAAAAGAGAGGGAACCCAGGCTTGGGAAGAGGAACCTGGACCGTAATCTGACAACAGATAGACGAACAAAGCAGCGGACACATCACAACCTGGGGATGGGAATGGGAATAAAAGCAGTCTACATATACTGATGGGATTAGTTTCCTCTGGACTTGAAGAATCTGTTCTATATTACTTTCTGGGTAACAGGTTTTAAATTTTATTATTATTCTTAAACAGGTATCATCCTCCCTGTCTTTTGTCTTTTAAAACAATTATTTTTGGTCAGACTGTACATGAACCCAGATAGATATGTCAAGGTGTGCAAATGGTCATGTAAGTCACATCTGGGAGGATGTGAGGGTACCAGAGTACTACCTTTAGATTTATTTCCTGAATTCCCATTTCCATCCCTGGGCATGGCAGCAGGTTAGACACCAGAGCCCCAGAGGGAATAGTATAAGCTAGGAGTCAGTCGCTGAGCCAAGCAAGTGCACAGAAGAAATGCAGACTTCAAACCAGGGTTTTGACAGTCCCACAAATGACACTCCTCCCCCACAGGGAGCTGGGCCACTCAGGTACAGCCTTCTCACAGTCTTCGCTGTCTCTACCTCCTCCTGCTCCTTCTCTTTGGCTATTTTTGGCCCTACCTCAGATTCACCTTTTCCAATAGCTTTCTCTAACTAAGCTCACTTTAGTTGAGGTCACAGCAGTCACTCCAAAAAGCCCTACTTACTCAATATAATAATGCTGCACGCACACCCATCAGTCACTTTCAAACTTGCCTCTGAGGAGACTGAGAAGTACAACGATGTCTCAGGAGTTACCTGGGAGACCCAGGATAGAGCCAATGGGCATATCAATTAGGATGGCTCTGCATTTATCTATTTTATATACTGAGATTCCAGATAAGATTTCATTAAAAAAGATTTCATGGCCCTAGCTCAGTGGCGGCAAACTGCGGCTCGCGAGCCACATGTGGCTCTTTGGCCCCTTGAGTGTGGCTCTTCCACAAAGTACCACCTGCAGAACCCAGTGCGGGGCGCGCAGGAGGCAGCCGACCCACGATTCTCTCTCATGGATGTTTCTCTCTCTCCCTCTTCCTTCCTCTCTGGTCAATAAAAATATATTTAAAAAAAAAAAGATTTCATGGCCCACAGAAGTTGGACAGCCATTGCAATATATCTACTAGTATATATGGCAATATATACTGATGCCAAGTATGCCTCTTTCATTGGGGGCAAGGGGCATTTTGCTCCTTGGCTCTCTACCCTCCTGGCTCTAGTCTCTTCACACATGGACTCCCAACTTGTGATAGTCAAACCAAATGCCAGAGCAAAGACCAATCCCCTGGCCTACCTTCTCATTTTTGTCCTTGCTGCGAGGGCTCAGCTCCTGGGTCTCAGACTCAAATTGGGATTCCAGCTCAGGCTCCTGCTCCCCTTCTAGTTCAGTCTCTAGCTCTTCCTCTTCTTCAAGATCCTCCTCAAGCGTACTTAACTTCTTCCCCTTCACCAGGATCTTCTTCTGAAGTTCCTAGGGGACAAAAATGAAGGGGTTTGGCTACCTGTCTGCTTTGGGACCCTTCTGGGGACCATGCAGATCCTATTACTCTCACAGGGCCACGTCAAAGGCAACAGAAGTGAGTGAGTGAGTAGTCAGAAGTTCCCACAGGAAGGCTGCTTGATACATACAGTAGGAATTTGTATTGTTAAAAGCAAACTGGTAACATCTCTATCCATGTGGAAAAAATAAATGGGGGCCCTATCTGGTTTGAATCAGTGGAGAGAGTGTTAGCCTGAAGACTGAAGGGTCCCAGGTTCAATTCTGGTCAAGGGCCTTGATTGGGGCTCATGTGGGAGGCAACCAATCTCACATTGATGTTTCTCTCTCTCTCTTTCCCCCCCTTCCACACTCTCTAAAAATCAATGGAGCCCTAGCCGGTTTGGCTCAGTAGATAGAGCACCGACTTGTGGACTGAAGGGTCCTGGGTTTGATTCCAGTCAAGGGCGTGTACCTCGGTTGCAGGCTCCTCCCTGGCCCAGGTCCTGGTCGGAGCATGTGCAGGAGGCAACCAATCATGTTTCTCTCACAGAAATATTGCTCTCTGTCTTTCCCTCTCTCATTCTCTCTAAAAATCAATGCAAAAATATCCTCGGGTGAGAATTAACAATAAATAAATAAATAGATAGATAAATATCCCTGCCTCACATTGGACACATAAAGATTCCTCATTGATTGAAGATTTACATGAAAATATAAAGAATATTACAAAAAATATGGAATCTTTTGGAATAATCTTAAGGTGGGAAAGCCTTTACAATATGAGATGAAAACTCAGAAGACATAAAAATCATTGGCATATTTGACTGCATAAAGCTTAAAAACCCCTGTGAGGCAGAAGGTAAGAAAAATAGACTAAAAAATATATTGTCCAGAGCATTAATATTTTCTTTCAAAATTATTTTATTTTTTTATTTATTGTCTAAAGTTTTACATGTCTCCTTTTTCCCTGATCGACACCCCCCAGCCATTCCCACCCCAATATTTTCATTTAAAAACATCCCCGGTGGGGGGTGTGCAGGAGGCAGCTGATCCATGTTTCTCTCTCATTGATATTTCTGACTCTCTGTCCCTCTCCTTTCCTCTCTGTGAAAAATCAATAAAGTATATTTAAAAAAATTTTTTTATCCTATATAATAAAAGGCTAATATGAAATTGACTGAACAGTGAAACAATTGGTTGCTATGACGCACACTGACCACCAGGGGGCAGATGCTCAATGCAGGAGTTGCCCCCTGGTGGTCAGTGTGCTCCCACAGGGGGAGCACCGCTCAGCCAGAGCACAGTGGCGGTGGCAGGAGCCTCTCCAGCCTCTGACGCAGTGTTAAGGATGTCCGACTGATGGCTTAGGCCTGCTTGTGGGGAGCAGGCCTAAGCCATCAGTCAGACATCCCCCCAGGGCTCCTGGACTACGGACTATGAGAGAGTGCAGGCTGGGCTGAGGGACGCTCCCCCCCAACACACACACACACACACACACACACACACACACATAGTGCACAAATTTCGTGCACCGGGCCTCTAGTATGTTAATAAAACTTATAAACCCTCAAAGTGGGTAAATAATATTAAGTCAAAAGAAGAAATAGACCTTTTTAAATTTTTATTCACACTTGCCTTTATGAATCATCTCACTACTGGAGTTATTTGTAATCCCTCTCTTATATTGTTAGTGGGAATGCAATTTGGTATTTTTTCCAGAGGACTCCTTGGCAATAATAACCAAAATGTCAATATGCAAACTCTTCAACCCAGAAATTTTGCTTCTAGGAATTCATCTCAAGGAAAGAATAAGTGGGCAAAGCTGTACATACAAGTGAAAAATTATAAACAGCCTAAATATTGATCACTTAGTGGTTACCTTTACCATCTACTAGTTGAATAAATTATGATCCATACATAAAATGGAATACCATAGAGCTGTTAAAAAGAAAAAACATTATATATGAAAAGACATCCATGATATATATTACTAGGTGTACCAGTTAATAATGCGGATTTCTTTCAATAGATGGAGTTACACATATGTTGATATATATGCAATATGATATGTATGCTATTTTGTTGTATTGACAACAGGCTTCAAAACATCATATGTAAAATTTTCTGAAGGTGTTAACATCATAGATATTTTTATGCTTTAAAATGTTGAATTTTGTGCCCCCAAAAAGAGCATTTGCGGGAAGTTTTAATTCATTACTTTATTTTGAAAAGTGCTGTTGAAAGTTATCGTATACTTTGGGAAGCTTATGGTGAACATGCTCCATCTCAAGATACTTGTGAACACTGGTTTAAATGCTTTAAAAGTGATGATTTTGATGTGAAAGACAAAGAATATCCAGGTCAACCGAAAAAGTTTGAAGACCAAGAATTACAAGTATTATTGGATGAAGATGCATGTCAAATGCAAAAACAACTTGCAGAAAGATTAAACGTTGCTCAGCAAACAATTGCCTATCATTTACAAGCAATGGGAAAGATTTTTGAAGGAAGGAAAATGGGTGCCACATCAACTGAACGAAAGACAAATGGAAAACCAAAAAGTGATCAGTAAAATGTTGCTTCAATGGCACTCAAGAAACTCTTTTTTGCATCGAATTGTGACTGGCAATGAAAAGTGGATTTATTTTGAGAATCCCAAACGCACAAAATCATGGGTTGATCCAGGTCAACCATCAATCAACATCAACTGTGAGGCCAAATCATTTTGGAAAGAAGACAATGCTCTGCGTTTGGTGGGATCAGGAAGGTGTGGTGTATTATGAGCTTCTAAAACCGGGGGAAACCGTTAATACTGATCACTACAGACAACAAATAATCAATTTGAACCACGCTTTTATAGTGAAACGACCAGAATATGTATCCACTGAGCCAAACCGGTTTCGGCAACAATTTGATGTTTTAAAAAATATCTTCTTATTGATTTTTGGAGAGAAAGGAAGGGAGAGGGAGAGGGCGAGGGAGGGGTAGTCAATGAGAGAGAAACATCAATCAGCTCCCTCCCACACATCACCAACTGGAGATATGCCCACAACCAAGGTACATGCCCTTGACCAGAATCAAACCTGGGACCCTTCAGTCTTCAGGCCAACACTCTATCCATTGAGCCAAACCAGTTAGAGCTGAATAAATCACTTTTGATGTTTCTCCTGAAATTATCGTGTTTTCTTTGATTACAAAATCCACATTATTAATTGGTACACCTAGTATATGTGATATAAAGGAATATAGAGGATAATTCCCATTCACTTTTTTACAGGTGAAGTACAATATTATATTATTATTCACTTTTTAAAAATATGAATACACACACTCACACACACACACACATATATATATACACACACATACAGTGTATAGAAGTATTTAAAATCTATTAATAGCAGTTATTAGGAAAGTCATTATGGTGGGGGGATTTCCCTTTCTCTTTATTGTTGGCATAGTCTACAACAATTATGAACTTTCAGGAAAAATTAAGATACTCTCAATGAAAAACTAAATATAAAGTAAAACTGATTTAAAATTTAGAGAACTCTGTGTTCAATTAGATTTTTTAAAAATTAAAGTTGTCTCCAAGGATATGAAGAGCAAAATGGTCCATCTGAGGGTGAGAAGGCACCAACATGGAGGAAGGAGCCAAAGCGGGGGGGGAGGGGTTCGGAAGCCACAGAAGAGTTTGGGCTGGGGGAGCAGGGCCCCTACCTCAGGTGAGGGCAGCTGAGTGGGCAACTGCCCATCCAAGGTGGTGCTCAGCAGCTGATCCCCCAGGATCTCGGTCAGATGGTGTGCTATGATCTCCTGCTGTTCCCAGCTGCAGTGGTTCTCCAGAGACAAGATGACTGGATAGTCTGATGTCTGAAGGGAGGGAAGAGGACTCTGAAGCCTGAGTTCTAACACTTATAACCTCCTTGCTTCTCCAGACTCACCTAGTTGCTCACTCAACTGAGTACCCCGATTGCTAAACTCCTCCAACCCCATTGCAGGCCTCAAGGAGGTCTTGCTGGGTCTGAAGCCCACCTCACATCTAAAAGTCACTCTTGGTGCAGCCACTGTGCAAAGCAGTATGGAGTTATCTCAAAAAATTAGAAGTTGCCAAAACCGGTTTGGCTCAGTGGATAGAGCGTCGGCCTGCGGACTGAAGGGTCCCAGGTTCGATTCCGGTCAAGGGCATGTACCTGGGTTGCGGGCACATCCCCAGTGGGAGGTGTGCAGGAGGCAGCTAATTGATGTTTCTCTCTCATCGATGTTTCTGACTCTCTCTCTCTCTCTCCCTTCCTCTCTGTAAAAAATCAATAAAATATATTTTAAAAAAAATTAGAAGTGGAACTGCCTTACGACTCAGCAATTCCATTTATGGGACTATAACCAAAGAAACCTGAAACACTGATCAAAAGAATATATGCACCCCTTTGTTCATTGCAGCATTATTTACATAGCCAAGATTTGGAAGCAGCTCAAGTATACATCAGTAAATGAGACCATAAAAAAGCTGTGGTACATTTACACAATGGAATACTACTTGGTTGTATAAAAGAAGAAAATCTTATCCTTTGCAATAGCATGGATAGGCTTGAAGAGCATTATGCTAAATGAAATAAGCCAGTCAGAGAAAGACAATACCATATTATTTCACTCACATATGGAATCTAATGAACAAAATAAAACTAACAAAATAGAAACAGGTTCATAGATAGAAAACAGACTGACAACTGTCAGAGGGGAGGGTGGTTGGGAAACTGGGTGAAAAAGGTGAAGGCATTAAGCAAAAAAGAAAAAAACACCTCATAGACACAGACAACAGTATGATGATTACCAGAGAGAAAGGGGAGTTGGGGGAGGTAGAGGAGGGTATAGGGGGATAAATGGTGATGGAAGGAGACTTGACTTAGGGTGGTGAGTGCACAACACAAGGTACTGTAGAACTGTACACCTGAAACCTATATAATTTTATTAACCAATGTCTCCCCAATAAATTCAATTAAAAATTAAAAAATTAAGGGCAGTCTCAAAGCTTCACCTGTAAACATGTATTAATTATCAATGAAAAAGCATAAAATACTTATTAATGAAAAATGCAATGGAGAAACCTGGCAGACACCATT